GGCCGTGTGGATTCCCTCTAGAGGGTTCTTCGCCCAGGGTCAGGGGTATACCGCCGTGTCCAGGGGGAAAACTCTAGACGGCCTGTTCCTCGTGTTACCAGACGATGTCTTGCAGGACAGAGAGTTAGCAAGAGAGTTCCTCAAGGAGGCGTTCCAACCGCCCATCGATGCCATCAACGCTCTAGCCGACATGCGACAAAAGGCACCGGCCACTGTTACGGTTAACGTGAGGGGTAGGGGAGTTGCGTACGCTACGCTGTGGGACGAAAGACGGTCATACTACGCCCCAGACGGGTGGGCGGGTGTGTGGCCTGGAGTTCTGTACAACGGTTTAGGTGGGGCAACACGTGTCGAGGGGGAGTATGCACTTGCTGAACGGTCGAACAATTATTCACCTTGTGCAATAGAAGGAGAGGAGAGGCACACCGGTGTGTGACGAAGCACATAATAAGGAACTCCTCGAAAGGGGGAACATGACGCTGCTGCGGACAAACTGCCTTTGAGTACATGCGAGCAACACGGCACTCCTGTGACGCACACTGCACGACGCTCGGAACCCCGTTAAGTGCCTTCGAGCGAAGCGAGTCACACAACACTGTGACCGCACACTGCACCGCGCCCGAAACCTCGCCAATTGCCTTCGAGCGAAGCGAGTCACACGGCACTGTAACCGCACACTGCACCGCGTCCGGAACCCCGTGAAGTGTGTCTGCGAGCGAAGCGAGTTACGATGCCACTTTGTCTTACTCCAAAACCATTACACAAACAACAACACACCAAACCAGGCTATGAATTTTTATGGGAGGGGCTGCGTATCGCGCCGACAAGTTTGAAGCCTACAGTGAACGGAATTTGGCAAATCTTGTTTCCCTAGATAGCTACCGGAATAGCCTATTACTGCTGTAAACGTTTAGGCTTGAGTGGATGTACGCCAGTCGCGCAGTTCTTCTGCGTAAAACGAAAATTTTATTCCTCCGCCTACTTTTTATTATTTTCAGCTGTGCAGTAGTGCTGTTTGCGCAACATGAAATGAAGTCCGTTCCTTGCGCAGAGTTCCTCTGAGAGTTTGTATATATGCACACATATAATCTCACTTTCGCACCTTTCAGTAGATAAGCTCGGAGAGCGTACGGATCTATTTTGATTGCATCGTCCAGATCTCGAATGCATGCTCGAAACATCTCCAGTCCAAGCTTGGCGGTCGCTCTGTTGCATGCCGTATACACGGCCTTCTGCGGCGAATGCTGATCACCATCCTCCTGGCTGTAGGCAGCCAGTGTCTCCGACAACCGACCCTTTTCAAATAGCTCCGCAGCAGTGGTGCCGTCGGCGGCCATGGGCGCTCCAAAATCCAGTGAGATGCAACGGCTAGGGAGCCAGCACCTTTCTACTGTAGGTTGTGTGCCCACCTCAATATTTATGTGTGATGTGAGCCAACGCGGACGCGGACACGTGTGGCCAAACCAAATGCAATCAGACGACGGAGGGGGCAGGAGGGGAACGGAGGCGTAAACCACGAGGGGCAAGGGGTTCACCTTTTTTTTTCGTTTCGTTTTTTTTTCGTTGGGATCGGGGATCATGCATCATGCACCAAATTGCTCCAAATGGCACGAACACTCATGACCATTTGCTCCAGCGACCTAGGAGACCAATGTGAAGCTCCCAGCTTAACGGCTGATGTCTGTATGATACCTTTAGGAAGACGGTGACTGATGATAAGGCATGACAGTGGCACCAGGGAAGCCTCAAACCAGCGGGGAGCCTGAACCTTGTAATAATGCTCAACGTGCGCGGAACAGGGGTCAGTCTGCTGTTGCGTTTAGCTACTAGACTTCAGCCATGACCGCCCTGAACTCTATGGCCCGCCTGCCGGCAGACGGTGAAAGTGTGCAAAGCCGTTCGTCGGGAAGTATAAAGACGACACCCGACGTACCGCTGGCACGTGCAGTGGAAGCAGCTGCGGAGGCATCCACACTCGCGGATCCGAAAGGGCAGCATGCGGCGCAATTGGACAGCACCACCAGCGATGCTTCGGCCAAGCCAGAGGAGGAGTCGACCACTCAAGACACGTTGCTACCCCAGATTCACGTTGATACCCTAGATGCACACAATGATGAAGAGGGGTGTGCTGGCGCCGGAGAATGCCAGCTTTGGAAAAACACAACGCGGCCGGTACCAGGTCCCAGTACTGAGCCGATGGCAGCCCCGATTGCTACCCAGCCACTAGGACTTACGCGTACGTGCTCACAAGAAGGATTCCCCACTCCCATGTCGGCGGTTGTCGACCATAAGGCAGCCTTCGACGAAAGCGCGGAAAACCCATCGAAGAAGAACAACGTCGATGAATCAAAAGCTGACCATATCGGAGAAAAGCCGTGCGACGGTGAAGTTCCTCGACAAACAACGGCAGAGATTGACAAACACATGGGAGCGTGCGAGACTGCAGATGGGTTTGTAGACGGTAAGATTGAGTTGTGTGTAGTTGCCGACATGAGGGAGATCGGGGCATCACCACAGCCGTTGGTTCTGGCGGACGTGACATCGGAGGCACTAAGCGCCAACCCCGAGGCGGGCCTCAGGCAGACAGAGCTAAACGCCGTATCGGACGTGAAAGTCGAGCAACAGGACGAGGGCGGTCCAACTCTCACTGACCACGAAGAAGAAATACAAGAGACTGCAACCTCTGTAACATGTCCGCAAAACCAGGACGAAGGATCCACCCAAGACATGGAGAAATCCCAAGACGTGAAGGAAACGGAAGATTCTGACTCGGCCAATCCTAAGGATGAGGAGGTGTTTATCTCATCCAGTTGCTTCACTGGCGCCAAGGACGGATACGTCTTCAAAACCGGTGACAAAGGGCTCGGCTTCTATGTTGATGGGTACGTCGATCGGCAAGTGAGAAGGAAGCGTTCGCTCTCACATCGACCCTGGAATGCTGGGCCTGGGGAAGAGGCAACTAAACGAGGGCCTCTGGGGCCGGCACCAAAACCTTTCAAGAAGATCGTGCCGTATCGCACCCAGAAGGAGAAAAGGGCTGCCGAGGAAAATGATACGTGAGAGGAGGAATGTGCAGTAGACAGTAGCAATATTTGTGCTTCCTTCAGGAGGTTTCGCCTTCTGGATACAGCCAGCTGATTACGTGCTACAACAGAGATGTCCATGCACGGATCGCAACCCGTCAACTGCTGCTACTTCGAACCCCTGGTGATTCTTTGCTATCGTACTGCTATTGACTTTCGCAGGCGTCCTTTCATGGCGCGAATGGTAGCCCAAAGAAACTCCAGAGGCTTCCAGTCGAACCTGTTCGAAAGAGAGCGCGTCCTCGACAAGCATATCTTGTACCTGCTGGAAAAGTTTTCAGATCCGGCTTTCTTCAAGAAGAAGCACGGCTACAACGTTCATGGGCAAATGCTAGGAAAGGACGGGAAAATGATTGTGAAAGTGAGCTATGAAGAAGAATCGATGGAACCATCTTTTCCAGGTGGAGCCAAGGCTTGGGTACCGTCCTGTGCGTCGCCCTCTGGTGTTGCGATAGCCCCTACGTGAACACTCGCACAGGAAACACGGCTTGGTTGTCCTCCCATATTCCGTTGTCCAGGTGACGCCAGAGAAGACGGAAGAAGAGAAGGCGAGACTCCCGTGGTACCGCAAAGTTTACGAAGATCGCCTGGGCAAACACCTTCCAAGTAAGCGGCTTGGAGACAGCATCGAAGCGCGGAGGGAAGCCTATGCGTATTCGAGACACTTCACGGCAGAGCTCGACGGCAGACAAAACGAGCTCAATAGCGCTCTCACGAAGGCGTTGAAGGCACGATTTGGCGTTGAAACTATCATGGCTTTGGCAACGTTTGTATCTAGGCACGTTTTTTCCGAGCAATATTTGCAGGTGTAGACCATGCACCACGCTTTCTGAGCAGCAGTAGAGGATCGGTAGAGGAAGAATTACTGTACCACTCGGTTGCCGTTGAGCTCACAGGTAACCGCGCTTGCGCGACGGTGTGGTTTGCGACGGAGCAACTGTGCCGGGGGTTAGGTGGAAACCGGTCTTTGATCTTACTCTCAATGAGCGCGGTTTAACCGTATACGTTTCGTCGTCCTAACATATAAAGGGTCAAACGAAGCTAGAGTTTATTACGGAGGACTACCACTATCCCGGAGCTTACAACACGGACGGCAAGGTCATTCTGGAAAAGGGAGCGCCAGTGTCAAACGAGCTGCACCGTACAGATGCGCAGAACGAACGGGCCTGCACGTGAGGAGCGCACGCTTTCCAGAATTTGAGCACAATCGTAACAACCTCAACTGGGGTTCACAATACGTGCACAGCATCATAATTTCTGTCGACTGCTCAATAACCTAGACCGAAATCTCGTTGGAACTACTGTAGCTCGAATGCAGTCACTCTGACGTAATGACTAAGGCGAATGCAGCCTGCTTGGCTGTACATACTCCAAACATCACAGGTGCGGCTTAATCGACAAGCAAACGATAGGAGGGTATCATTTCCCCATGACGGACCACGGCGGCTTTTTCTCCCTCTCTTGACAGGTATCGATACAAGGCTATTCGGCGGTATCGGGCTGCGCACAGCGACATCGCTAGCGCTATTGCAAAGAAAGACAAAGCTCTCCAGAAGGTGCTTAAGAAGACCGACCCCGCCATTCTGGTCGAGATCTCGGAAGAAGCCGTGACAAGCACGGGATTGGGGATTTACCGACAAACGAAAAGAGCGGGTGGACGGAACGGTAGCGCTACTGGGGCGAGCTCGGCTGTGCTACAGCCAGGGGAGCGGCCCGAGCAGCTTCGACAAAAGTTTGCTCATAGTCTCAAGGTATTGCATACTTTCACTGGGGGGAAATATGTGAGCTTCGCTTGGTACCCAAGGCGCCCTAAATTGTGAACGGAGAATTCGCTTTTTGAGATCGAAAACTATCGCCAAGCCATGCACCGTTTCAAAGTGGACAGTAGTTTTCATTGCTGGCGTGAAACTTACACCAAGGAAGGGCCTGGCTGACGCTTGGGTTATCGAATGTGACTAAAACTGAATTTTCGATCAACCGCAAGGATAGCACGAATGCAACCTACGCACCGAAAAACAGCAGTTGGAATGACTTCCCCGAGCGTCTTGCTTGCTGCTGAATTCCTCAGTCTCAAATGAAAAGCAAGGACAAGGCCTTGCTCAAAGAGATCGCCGCTTTGGAGGAAGATGAGACCGAGCAGGTACGATACAGGAACATGAAGTATACGTATTTTCGAGGTGGTGTATGAAAGCCATACGACGAGGGATATACATGCAATCCAGCTTTCGCCACGAGTCCGTCAATACCTCAGCTTCGCCAGTTGTCACCCAAAATTCTGGTCGGCTAGCTTACCGTATCAAAGATATCTCAACCGTCGACGAGAAGCGCAAGTATAGCGATGTCATTGAGATCACATGCCTTTGCTGCATGAGTGTAAAGCCGCTCTCTTCTCTTATCACGTGAAAAATTAAGATTATGGGTAATTTTGGAAAAGGCGCTGGGGTGCTTCCCAATAGCTGGCGGCAGGACCCGGAAGGTCTGAACCGGATGGAGAGGCGTCGGAAGGAGTTGATCGCCGAGAACGCAGCAGACCGGCGAAAGGTCGTGTGCCCATGGAGGCCCGGCGGGAAGCACATTGCTCAGGAACCCTGGAAGCCGTTCATTCCGCGAGATCACCGCCCACCCGTCAGGTCAGCGTCGGAGGGGAAAGCTGAGACCCACGGCGGAAGCCTAGGCGTCTCCTCAGCTGCGCAAGAAGGTCGGAGAAGTGTGCCGATCCACGAGAAAGGGAACGGGAAGAAGGAGGCGGAGCGGAGGCCACGTACGGCCCCAGCACATCGACGGAAAGGGTTTATGGACGCAATCAGTCCCCGTGCCAGGCGCATCTTAGCGGCCCAAGCACCAGGTACACCCTTACATAGCGTCTTCTCCACGTACAGCAACGACCCCTTCCCGCTTGAAACCAGGCAGAGACCTAGCGCTCAGTCGACGCCGGCAAGGACGGAGTATTCCGGCAACCGTCCCTCGCCAACGCTCACCACTGAGCCATGCACTGACACGTTGTTTCAGACCTCGGGACGTATCGGTCTAGGGACACAACAGCGTGCCTGGGTCGAGATCTCTTGCTCACCCACCAGTTCCCAGACGCTTCGTGGCGGTTTTGTGGCGAGGCCCCATTCAGCCGCTGCAAAGATCTCCAAGAAGCTCCGAACTCCTCCGCGGCGACCTGCCACCGCTTGTGGAACCCGGGTGCCACGGGAGAGTACCGACAACGCCGTCGCAGCAAGTAATGTTTCGTCCACCAACCAGGCACGAGAACACGAGCAAGACCACCGGAGCGATGAGCAATCGCGTGATCTGCACGTACAAAGTGGACCCGGTGTCACGGTGCTATGGGCACGTTTGTGCTCCCCTTCCTCAGACCTGGTGTACAAGAGGTCCGTTTGGCCTGAAGCACCCGCAGCTTCTAGACCGACTCGGCGGAGAGGTAAACCCCGCAAAACATCAGCGACAGCCCCGGTGAACGGTACGACGGTGGCGGAAGGGGAGCACGAGTGGGATGCGACGCCAGGAGATCCAAGCACAGGTCCCGGCCCTATCGTTGCCGGAAGTAGTGGTGGGGGAAAGCCGAAGCTTCCACGAGGAACGACAGACACGGGTGGTCCTCTTGAGGACATGGAAAACAGCCTGTATGCAAGCAGCTCCCAGCGCGTGAACCACAGAAAACGAATTTTCAGGTCCGTCGACAACTTCTACAATCTGGGAATGTTTGGTGTGGTTTGTGAATCATTTGAGTGCAACATGAGTAATTATCGCGTCGTAGAATCGAGAGTCGGGCAGGTGTGTTGGTTGGGGAGTTGTATTGGGACGGCAATCGTGCACGTGATAATTACGCATTTTTCTCTTCTGTGTAACTCGTTTGCAATCGAGGAATACGTTTCGCATGTCCAAGATTCCAACGAAAGAAGTCATACACCACGATTTACCGGTTGATATTTTTCTCACTGCCAACGCCAATGCTCGCAGGGGGTACTCAGATCGGTCAAGACGGGAGAGAACTTGGGATCCAGGTTCAGAGTTTTACGCGGAAGGTGCCAGCAAGCACTCCATGGTGCGCCCTAGCCCATGCACCGGAAGAATTAATTGGAACCGGAGAGGGGGGAGGGGTAATCCCAGACAGGAAGATGATACAACGAAGAGGAAACACCGTCGCGACAAAAGACATCAGAGTCGAATCTCAGGAAATGACGACCCCGTGGATATGGATTGGGAAAAGGTATGACCTGTGCGTATTCCCTGTTATGCTTGAATAAAAAAATATGAGTTGAACAACATTACATTCTAGACTCTTGTCTTCCAACCCCGGTACTTCGCCACCGATTCCGCGGCATTCTAATCTTCCCGGACAATGATCTTGCTCTTATACGGACATGCGCGTGAAGTGGCACTACTGCCGCAGTTATATCCACAGAATCTAACCACCCCCTTCCGTTCATCTATTCACAACCGCCGGCGCTTGTAGGTAGACATTGCGCGTTTGATCAATGGGTCCAAAGAGATCGAGAAGGTCTTGGACGGCAAATTCTTCGCTGTTGTCACAGACGACGAAAGTCCCGTACATTTGGGCGAATGTTTCCAAGAAGCCCAAGAACTGGTTGAATCCGCGAGTGTGCTACTAGGGTGCCCGGAGAACGAGCGGGAAAGGTATGCACCCGCTGTCGTGCTTGAGCAGGGACAACGACCCACCAGAAGCTCCCAGTTTATTCGCCGTAAAATACCAATACCTCCTTCTTCCACCTCCAATGAGCACCAATTTCTGACGCTTCCCCCCTTTGGTGGGACCCGTCTCAAATACTCGCTTGCTCCAAAGGCCGGGATTGTTGTAACACGATGGGCCTTCTACCCTTGCACATTGTGTGGTAATCACGCAGGTTCAGGGAGAAAATTCGTGGGGATTTCACAATCGGACATTATGTAGCCACGGTGTCGAGGCTCAACCTGTTGTGGACAACAGCTTGTGGTGTTGTCGAGATTGTGAGCATGATCCACAGGCGGAGGAATCTACTCAAGGTCAGCAACAGCAGCGGGCCTACAGTACTCGCCACGGGTAACCGACACAAATGCATACAATCGGAAGACCAAGGGTGATTGAAAATGATAGGAACCGAGACGACATGAAAATCTGAGGTTGAGTGAAGCCTCTCAGTGTCAGAACATTGAGACAACCAGACTAGCGCCGAGCACGATCATGACACTCCGGGATGGCAATCTTCACAACATCTCGGACATTGGCACGGCAAGGCCTCATCAATTAGGTAGCTTACATGGACCCCCATGTCCTGACACCAACATCGATGACCACTGCTACTTCGATTGGTACACGCAGGAGGTGATTTCGACTGCCAGTTGGTCACAGACTTAAGGTCCACCTTTTCCCCCCACCTAACGTCTTCACAATATGCCGAAACATACATCTTTTTTTTATTGTACCACAGGCCTTCTGTTCAAAAATAGGCGAGCAGCCCGCGGTCAAGTGTGCCAGCGTCTGCACGGAAGAAGCACAGGGTGACACCCGAGTTGCTCCGCCGATTCCTGCCTCAGCGTTTTCGCGCGAGCATTGCTTCCGTCAGTACGAGACGAGGTTAGAACTAGCAGAGTACACAATCGCGATCGCCGAGTCGATAAAGCTTTGGACATCGGTCATACCATGGCGCGTGCGAGTGCTATTCGGCGGTGAACCTGTGCTCACGAGTCTGAGCGCCGAGGAGGAAGCACTGCCCTGGCCTCCAGATCCCGACCAGCCGGGCAGAGGCTTTGCTCCAGATGAGGCATTGACGATGCCCAATTCAGGACAAGAGGTGGAGATGCACCACCAGCATCGTCCACCGTGTGATGGCCCAGATGACAAGAAAACTTGCCCAGGAGTCGATGGGTGTGCCCCCGAGGAGGAGAAAGAATCCAATCTCGGAGTTATGCAGGATGCCGAGAAAAGTGTTGAGGACGTCGCCGTCCAAGAGCAATGTCAATGATCTTCCAGTGTGTTGTGGAAATGTTAGCACATAGCCGGTATTAAATAGTCAATTTTCAACAGCACTGCTCTTGTACATTGTTTGTATACCCCCGTGACCGCCCACGGAGGTGGCCGTGCCCACCCACGGTATGATGTCTGTCTGGGGGCTACGTTAACCCAGAGGACGGATGCCGGTGATATATATCCTTGATTAACACACACGTGCTCTTCCAGCACGGACCGAAGTCAGTACAGGTCCTGTTTCAGTGAACACAAACGCGGGCTCTCACGAGGGGGCCCGCACTTGGACCCCCAAAAGTATACCCCCCGCATACATGTTCTCTGCAGATCGGATCTTGTATCCAAGTACCCCAAACAACAGCCCCCCTGCTTCATACAATATACGATCTGGAAGTCCAAGGTGGATAATCTTCCAAGCAATACAAAAACACAAATAACCACTCGAGAAACATTCTCTACAAAACTGGTTACGCATTTAACGCAAAGCGTCTCCATCAGTTTGTCCATGAACCCAATGTATTCTCAAACCGTCAAAACAAAAGAATCATCCTCAGAAGAGTACCCAACAAATACCTGCGCTACATCAGAAAAGCGTAAGAACGGTTACGGACAAGTAATCTGGAAAAACAGCTTCAAAAGAGTTGACACAACATCTTAAAACAACACAACTTTCAACCTCTTGACCAATTAAAACAAGCAGTGGGAAAGCACAAAGGCCCCAACCATTACTCGTCAAAACATGTCAAACCCTTCCTGCAACATAGCGTCCAAGGACCAAATCCTAAACAGCGCGTGCATGCTATCGGTGCCTCAGCTGTTGTCCAAGAGACGATAGAAATATAAGCAATATCCATGCAAACAGCCCCCCTGCCGCAATATTTCCCAAAACATGCAAATTTCGTGCCACCCTTCTCTCAATACCAATATCAATAAGTAACAGCCCCCCAACTGGAACATTTCCCCGAAACATATATACAGATCTGCCTGCGTTTTCTTCCCCTCCTATTCAACCATCAGAAGATCTCAAAACATCAAAGTGTATGAAACAGCCCCCCAGCTGAAACACGCCCTGCAAACACAAGAAAAACATATATGCATTCGCTAGTGTTGCGTCTGGAATCATGACAACACATGTCCTCCCCCCCTGATTCTCGACGCAAAACACAGCTCAGGAAACGCGTCCACAAAGAAAAAAAAATACTTGCTGAACATTCATCACAAAATCACGGTGGAAGCAAAACGCGCTCTTGTGCAACGGTTTCGTGAGGAAGTCCGCATGCTGAAAAGTCGTGGGCGCGTGCACAATCTTAAACTCTCCCCGTGCTACACGCTCCCGAAGACAGTGGTGACGAACGTCGATGTGCTTAGAGTACGGTGTGGTGGCGGGGTTGACCGCAAGGTGAAGAGCCCCCTCGTTATCCTCGAACACCAGTGTGCACCCGACATCGCGACCCGGAAGAATAAAACCCCAAATAAACCGCAAGAAAATCGCCTCCTTCATACCGTTAGCCATCGCAACATACTCTGCTTCGGTCGACGACAGGGTAACACTTTTCTGCGTCCTAGATAAAAACAATACACATGCACCGCCGCACATCACAACTGCTCCCGAGACCGACCGCCGGTCAGTGGCCCGGCTGGCATAGTCGGAGTCAACATACAAGCGCAAATCGATACCCTCCCTTGAACCCCGCTGAAATGTAATACCAAGAGAACTCGTGAATGTAATGTACATCGCAATATGCAACGCAGCCCGCCAGTGTAGGCTCTTGGGTGCATGGGAATACCTCGCAACGGACCGCAGGGTATTAAGGATATCCGGCCGAGTCTGATTAGCAAGCCACATGAGATGACCTACCAAAGAACGAAAAGGCCCAAGAACATTAGGTTCGTCAGCAGAAAAATCGTCAAGCTTCACTCCAACAGGCATCGGGGTCTCCTTGTTGCGCGTGACACCAAACTTCGCAACCAAGTTGACAGCAAAAGTTTCTTGCGACAATGTAAGCGTACCAGAAGCCCAATCGCGTGAAAAACGAACTCCCGCATACAAGCGCAACGCTCCGAGGTTGGTGATGGGAACGTAGGCGTTCAAGTCTCGGCCAAACCTGTCACACCTACTCTTCCGCCCGATGGAAAAAATGTCATCCACATGCACCACAACTACCATGGCAAGCACACCATCCTCGATCAAACGCATGACATACGCATCAGCAGCACATTGGTCAAACCCAAGAGATTTCATGCCCCGAACAAGGTGGTGGTGCCACGTGCGTGACGCCTGCTTCAAGCCATAAAAACTACGGGCAAGTCTCACAATCTTACTCGAAAGGGGCCCATTACCCTGCGGCAGACGCACGTACACGATCTCATCTAGCTTCGATTGCACAAACGCTTCATCAGCATCAAAGTGGCACATGTCCCAACCCATTTCACACGCGATAGCAGACAAGAGGCGAATACTCGGATGGGTAGGGCACGGGGAAAAAGTCTCAAAATAGTCAATACCTTCACGCTGACCGAAACCCCTGGCGACAAGCCGAGCCTTTGCACGCAACACATCACCGAATNGTGGCACATGTCCCAACCCATTTCACACGCGATAGCAGACAAGAGGCGAATACTCGGATGGGTAGGGCACGGGGAAAAAGTCTCAAAATAGCCAATACCTTCACGCTGACCGAAACCCCTAGCGACAAGCCGAGCCTTTGCACGCAACACATCACCGAATTCATCAGGTTTCCACGTGTAGACCCATTTGGCAGAGATGACGTTCGTTCCTCGTTGCTAGAGCCCTCCTGCCGGCTCGAACGTGCCCGCCCCAACCAGACCATCCATCTCCCGCTTCTCGGCTGCTCCCCAAATGGCGCTGTGCGGCCCCAAATAGCAGAAGTCTCAAGGTCGCGCGTCGGCCCGGTGGCTAACGGGGGCTCATCCTGCAAAGGGTGAGCGGCGAGCGAGCGATGATGTCCTCCTCCATCGAAAGCAGCGCAAGCGCACCCGGTAATCCTCGAGCTGCTCCTCCCGCCACCGCCTGCCGCGCACGCTCCCTGGTCAGCGCCGGTGTTACTTGGTAGCGATCGCGTTGACGCTGAAGATGCGGGGCGAGGGGCGGCACGGACGACGGGGGGGCGGGGGCGGGGGTGGGAGGTACAATGGTCAAGGGGGGGAAGACGCTCCCCCCGCTTGTGTACTCAACCGCCCCAACGAATGCCGGTGCCGCCGCTTCCGTCGGTGCCGGCGCTTCCACGTCTGCTGCCGTCGCTCCTGCCGATGCTGCCACCGGCGACCGGGATCTGGCCGAAGCTGCCCCTGCCGTCGCCGCGCGTGAAGCCGTCAGTGTCGCCGCCACGCGTGAAGTCGTCCGCGCCGCCGCCGCTCCTGCCGATGTTGCCACCGGCGACGGGGATCTGGCCGAAGCCGCTTCTGCCGTCGCCGCTCCTGAAGCCGTCCGCGCCGCCGCCGCTCCCGCCGATGCCGCGATGGCGCCGCCGTTGTACGTCGGCACGATACCAACAAACGGTTTACGGCGATAACCCCAAACAACGTCCGTAGGGTACCCCACGGCTCCGGAGGGGAAGATGACCTTGTAGCAATCCCTGGAGTGATAGTCGCCGGGGTTAAGGTAAAAGCACCGCTCGCCCTTGGGTGCGATCTTAGCGGGGATGCGGGCGTGGTGGATGCCCGGCATGAGGAAGGGCAGAGGTTGACGCAGAGGGCGTTTGCCGTGGAGCATCTCGTACGGGCAGAAACGATCGGGCGACTTGTCAAGCCGCGGCAGCGTGTTGATGCACGACGACATCCAGCTCCATGCCTCTGGCCAGATGCGGTTGCAATCGCAAGCCACGCGAGGGAACTGGAGGTCAGGGAAGAGCAGAGAAGCCTCCGTGAAAGCTGCCCGGCCGCCCTCCCGGACCAGCCCGATCCGACGCTCCACCTTCCCGTCACGCTTCTGCCCTCCGTCAGGGGACGTCATCTCCTGGGTGATGCCAAACTCCAGAAGCAGATTGCTCACAGACGCGTTGACCAGCTCCGTGCCGTTGTTCGTCCGAAGAAACTGGAAATCGCGGTGGACGCCCCGCGGAGGGCAAAGGGAAACGAAGATCTCGCGGAGGGCTTTCGTCACGGTCGTGGTCTGCTTGTCTGGGAGGAATTTGACGATGCCGTAGTTGGTGTTGTCATCGACTACGGCGAGGCAGTAGGTAGCACCACCAGCGGAGGGGGGGAGCGGTCCCGTGAGATCAGCGAAGAGGTTGAAGAGGTCGCGAGGCCGTGGAGGAAGCCATCGTGGAAATCGCCTTGCGGATGCCCTTGCCGACGGCGCACCCGTCGCAAAACGATAGTGAACTAGTGACTTTGATCTTCATCTGGCGTGCTGCTTCGCGGATGACGCGCTCGTGTGCGTGGCCCAGGGAAACGTGGAGATCGTTGATGTCCATGGCCGCCGGCATACCCGGCCGCATAAGAGCAGCGGCCATGGCGACGGGGTGGAGGCCGCTGTCATCGCCGCCGATCACACCGCCCTCGCTGCTGCCGCTCCCGTCGCAATTGCCGCCGCCACCGCCACCGCCGCCGCCGCCCACGCGGCCGCGGCGGCCGGTACTGCCGTCACCGCCGTCGCTGGTGCCGGCCCCCCCGGAGCTCTGGCGGTAGCCGTCACTCCCGCAGCCGGCGACGGAGCTCTGACCGAAGCCACCACTCACGTCGCGGCGCGTCCTGCTGATGCCGCCCCCCCCGGAGGTCGGGACCAGGCCGGATCTAGAATCATAGAAGGGTGGGAAAAGCTGGTAAACACAACGGCAAGTAGAGTTCTCGGTAGAAAGTTGATAGTCTGTAAGAGAGCAGTAAAGTGGTGGGACGAAGAAATCAAGCAAGCAATTCGAGTACGTAGAGAGTCACACGCAAAATATGCGGCAGGGAAAACCGATGCAGGATGGAAGGAGTATGTTGAAAATAGAAAGAGGGTGAAGGAGTTGGTGGTGAAGAAGAAGAAAGCGTTGTGGGAGGAAGTAGTCCAAAAGACTATGAAGATTTTGAGGGGGGATGAAGCAAATGTGGGTAGGAATTCAAGGGATAGTGGGCAAGAAAAGAGGGGGAGACACGGGAATAGCGACACTACGATCTGCCGAGGGTAAGATGGTAAGCAGTTCTAAAGGAAAGCGGGAA